CTCCCAAATGGCTATATTTGACTTCTGCTTTCTCTGGACATTGGTGATTGATGTTCCTACCAGAAACATGGTTTTGCGATTCAAACCACTTTCGATATTGAAAAGTCAAGTTGGCGAACGACCGTTTTCGGTAATTCTTCCTCAGGCCAATGCAATTACATGAACGAATGAAAATGTACAAAATCAACAGTGTTTATAGATGCCTCAAGGGCTATTATGTCACTAACACTCATCATCCCCACGCCGCCCGCATGAGAATGTCGGCGGGTGTTAGTCGTCAGGGCTAGGGGAGAGGGGTAAGAGAGTCTTTGAGTAATGATCTTGGGTTGAGTACACGGAGTACCCATCGTCGTGATTAGGGATTTGAGGCGGCATGGCTTCATCACTTGGGTTTGGCGTTGGCCACGGCAGCGAAAGCGCTTGTGTTAGAGTTTTCTGACAGCATAACACCGGATTCACTAACCGTATAGCTACTGCCTCTGCCGTTGCTAGTATCCGTTGGCGTAGGCCTTTAGAGAAGCATGTTGGTGTCCGGTAGACAACCTAAAATGCTTTCTTGGCATCGACTCGGTGGTTCGTATCGATTTAATGCACGAGAATAGAACTCGAAATCGACCGGGTCTCACCTCTGTCTAGCCAGGCGGGCATATGTTCACGTACCCTCTTTACCAGGCGTCTCGTTGTGCGGCTGATGTATCCTGCTCCACAGGAGTAAGTGAATGAATAAATGCACATTGATGTGGCCTCCAACGGTAGTCTGTCTTTACCTCCCAAACGTAGGAGGGGAGAGTTTGTGAAGCATACGCGTAAATTCGCCGCAGGGAATGCCCTTCTGATAGCTGTAGTTAAGCGCCGTCGGACTAGTTCGCTCTCTGCGTCTCCTCTAAAAGGCAATCTTATGAATACATCTTTCTTTTCCGCAGTCTCAACAGTGGGCTTTTCAACGCGTTCCTCAATAGTTCGGAGGATTAATCTATCTGGGTATCCGTTCTCCCGAAGTGTGTTCCGCAGCTGTTGAAGTTCTTCTTCAATAGCTTCAGGTGAGCAGATGCGTCTCACTCTAGCTGCCAATCCCTGGACTAAATTCCGTTTGA